AACGTCCAGTTCTATTGTGGACCCTGTTAAATAACACTTTGTGTGAAATGCGTGTCCCTTCATCTCGAAACGAATGCACCTGACCACAATATCATATACTACCACAAAAGATCTGAGGGTACAGCGAAATCTCTTCGCGATCCCGAGGTAACAGGTACCATACGCTGTGGATTTCGTGCAGTGTACTGTATTAATTATAGATACAGGGAGCATGATCCCTTTACACAACTTTCCGCTTAGTGTACTACCCTCATACAATGCACTTGCAGCGCAAGCGCTTTGCTTCGAGTCTATCCACTACTAAGATAGAAGACATACAGACAACTCAGATCTGACCCATCCTATCATGTAAACGCCTGTAATGATAACACCTGTATTAAGTTCTATCACTTTATTATTAACACTTTGAGCACAAAAATACACATTTATTACAATCAACATAATTGGAGATAAAAAGGCCGCAATTTTTTGTGGGGGACGGGGGATACCTACAAATGTACCAAAAAAAACCATGGGCACATGGGGGGCCGAGTGTAAGCACAAGTGCCCGATCCGAACGGTCACCACGTTCTGGACCAGTGAATGCGGGACTGCCCTTCTCCCTGTCTCCAGCGCCACCTGGTGTACCCACTTACTTTACCAGACTGTGGCCTCCCCCCGCTTGTGCGAGGTGGAGGTGGAACCAGCCATGACAGGCCATGAACCACGGATGTTACCATATAATGTTACTTTAGACAACTTATGTGCTACATGTACTTATGTATTACATACCAAAACGCCCCCCTGCTTTGAGGCAGGGTGGGGAGACAACCAGGTTATGGGGCCACTTGATCCCAACATACACAAAAGTATCCCCCAGTCCCCATCCCCCCATCCCGGAATTGCGACAATAAAAAAGGGAGTTAAAGGATAAATTCCCAAACATGATTTTCCCCATTTATAATTAACCAGGCTTTCCCTGTTATAGAAGTGTCCATGGTAGATAATTTACACTACGTGCACTGGAAAGTCTAATGAACTGGTATAAGCGTGTATTCTTTGATGGTCATAGGCTCTGTGCTGCTCACATTTTCCTACACTGATGGGTGCCTGGTATCCCCATGGATCCACATTCCAGTTTCCTGCAAGATAAAACAAAACACAGCAGAAAAGAAAACTCTTTAATTTATAATTATTAATGACCTTTCAACTATTAATTACAGGGGTGGGTGGGCTGGGAAAAAAGCGTCTGATTTCAACAATTTGCTGGTTTGAAAAGGGGGATAACTTCCGGTGCACCTTTATAATTAATTCGTACACAGTTTGACTTGTAATACGACTTTGTATATTCCTGATGTAATAACTTGTGTACACTTCGTCCCAACTAACCAAACATTAAAACCCTGTCCTAAATTAATAATTTACTATTTGATATAAAATCAAATAATCTTGATTAATTATAGATACAGGGAGCATGATCCCTTTACACAACTTTCCGCTTAGTGTACTACCCTCATACAATGCACTTGCAGCGCAAGCGCTTTGCTTCGAGTCTATCCACTACTAAGATAGAAGACATACAGACAACTCAGATCAGACCCATCCTATCATGTAAACGCCTGTAATGATAACACCTGTATTAAGTTCTATCACTTTATTATTAACACTTTGAGCACAAAAACACACATTTATTACAATCAACATAATTGGAGATAAAAAGGCCGCAATTTTTTGTGGGGGACGGGGGATACCTACAAATGTACCAAAAAAAACCATGGGCACATGGGGGGCCGAGTGTAAGCACAAGTGCCCGATCCGAACGGTCACCACGTTCTGGACCAGTGAATGCGGGACTGCCCTTCTCCCTGTCTCCAGCGCCACCTGGTGTACCCACTTACTTTACCAGACTGTGGCCTCCCCCCGCTTGTGCGAGGTGGAGGTGGAACCAGCCATGACAGGCCATGAACCACGGATGTTACCATATAATGTTACTTTAGACAACTTATGTGCTACATGTACTTATGTATTACATACCAAAACGCCCCCCTGCTTTGAGGCAGGGTGGGGAGACAACCAGGTTATGGGGCCACTTGATCCCAACATACACAAAAGTATCCCCCAGTCCCCGCCACAGGACATAGACACTATGTCCCCCCACAAAAATTGAGTACTTGTAATAAAACATTGAGTTAATTTGGAGGATATACATTGGTTCTCTTGTTTAAAAACATGTGTAGAGCAGACTGCAGGTTATTAAGGTAAACCTCAAGACCAGTTTTTGACAAGTGGGTACCATCATGCCTGAACAATTGTATTTCCGAGATTTTAATGGTTGAGTCATTATTTATGTAACAGCCATTAACTTCAGTAGTTATAAACTTTTTGATAGACTTGTTAACTTTGAGCCTTTTCTTGTTAATTTTTGCACCTGCTTTGGGAGGGGCACCATGCCAGTACAGCCTAGGTAATATTGAAGAAAAAATTAAAGTGGTACTTGGGAGAAGTGCGTTATAGCGATACAGGCTGCACTGTATTTGATGAATAAGTTTGATGCTTGTTAAATCTGGTGTAGTTAAATCATTAGACCCAAGGTGTATCAATAGAAATTTGGGTGTAGGATACTGAAGTAAATAATCCGAAACTGCCTTGTCTAACTGATCCCAAAGCATACCCCTACGCCCTAGCCAAGAAATTGTGGCAGGTAAATTAAGGTTACTTCCCCCTGATCGATAGGTTGCAGCATGCTGGCCTGCCCAGAATGGAATTGATGATCCAAGTATCCAAATGGTTGGGGTACCTGAAAAATCTTTGGTAGAGTTAGTAGGTGCTACAATCACAGGGGACAGCTTTACTGTCTCCTAATGTAAGTTAAATATGAAGTTGACCGCCATCTTCCTTTTGCTTTTATTTCAGTATCCGAGAGACCTTGTTTGGCAAGCTCGGTTGCCATGCCAATTCTGAAACTATGTGACCTAAAGTGCCCTGTGACCCCAATGAATTGTAATGCTTTTTGTAAAATGGCTTGAAACTGGTACTTTGTAAGGGGCTTAGAATTTAGATGTGTAAGAAGCTTGTCATTTCTTTGTAACCCCTCTCTTAAAAGCAGAAAATTATTTAAGATTGTGATTGGGCTGATAATGGATTCCGTATGAGAGGCGATATCTACTTTAACAGATTGTCCGATTTGGTCCGTTTTAGATCTTTGAATAGTAATTTGGCAAAGGTTTTGATTCTTTATTGTAATGTCTGAGAAATTGAGTGCCAGTGTTTCACTTACTCTTAACAAACCATAAAATGTAAGAGTAAATGCTGCTGAAAAGAGAGCGGATTCATATCCGGAACTGCAAACACTGGGCAGGGAATGGATAATTTTGTGAAAAAGCTCAAATGAAATAGGGATTCTTTGGTCTTTGTTTGTACCTACTGATCTACGCAGCCCTTCCAGGGTTTTAGAAACTATGAAACATTTTGTTGTGTCCTGAAAGCCATGTATTTTGTGTATGTATGAGATTGCATTTAGGTACAGTGATACTGTTCTGTATGACATATTATTAAGTGAGAGGAAACCAATAAAATTCACGAGCTGTTGCACTGGTGCTGGCCAAATAATTTGGTAATTAAATTCTGAAATGAAGTTTTGAAATTTGTTCAGCGCTGTTGAATATGCTCGATGTGTTGATGGTGCTATTGAACATTGTAGTAATCGATTGGCTTCAAGCATTATATTTCCCAGATGTGGCTTGGTAGTGGGGTGGGCCCTAGGTCTGCCTGCGGTGCCAGTCGCCTGAATCTGCCCCACTGAAATCGAGATAAGGAGTCTGCAATGAAGTTTTGTTTTGTGGGGATATATAAGGCCTTAATACAGATATTTGACTTTAGGCATATTAACACAAGCTTGCGGACAAGATTCATGACCCTATCAGATTTAGACGTCGAGTTGTTGATGATGTGGACAACTGACATGTTGTCAATGTGGAAGACAAGTCTGGAATTGGCAAAGTGGCTCTGCCATTATATAACAGCAACCACGACGGGGAAAAGTTCCAGGAAAGTCATGTCCCTAGTAATACCTTGTTCAACCCAAAGGCTTGGCCAGACCCCATAAGCCCATTTCCCCCTAAAGTAAATACCAAACCCTCCATTAGTTCCCCCTGAGCTATCTGTGAAAAGTTGAATTGTGTCATTGTGAATCCAGGGCTGGGTAAATATAACCGATATACCATTGTAAGATTGCAAAAAAGTTTTCCATACTGTGAGGTCAGCTTTTATGTTCTTTGTTACCCTTATTCTGTGATGCTGTTTAGTAATACCTATTGTTGAATTTATAAGGCGGCGGCAGAACGCCCGGCCAGGGGCGATGACTTTGCACGCAAAGTTTAATAAGCCAATAAGTGACTGCATTTCTCCCAGGGAGACTTTCTTTGCCTTCAAAAAGTGTTCTAATACGCCATTAATCTGGTTTAATTTTTCTGAGGGGAGTTTCATGGTCATATTGACCGTGTCCAATTCTATTCCCAAGAATGTTAGGACTTGTGTAGGTTCGACTGTTTTGTCATGAGCAATTGGGACACCAATATCTGAACATTTGGATTTAAGGTATTCAATCCCTAATAGGAACAAATTCATTGAAATTGAATACATAACAGATACGTAGGCATCGAATACTCAGTTTATTAAGACACGCTTCCCATATATTACTATAAGAATATATAGTGGGATGTGTCCTAATTTAGGACCTTGAATTTTGGAAAGAGTTATCTCCCCTTTGTTTAATTAATCAAAAAATTCAGTTAAAAAAAATTAGCTGGTAAAAAAGTTATTCTAAATTGTCATTCTATTTTTAATGGTTCAATGCATCTTTCCACCGCAGGATTTTTTGATATTCAAATTTTTAGAATTTTTATTTTGAAAAAACGCTTTTCCCCATAGACTTCAATGTAATATTTGTTAATTAACTACTGCTTAATTAATGACATTTTTGAAACTTTCTCGTGGTCAATCCTTTTCTACAATTGGTCCCATTAGGGATGGAAATCCTTAAAAACATTTAAGGCATTGTGGCAAGTGGATGTGCCTGGTGGGCCGCAGAAAAGGAAATCATCAAGGTAGTGAATTATCAGATCATTTTGGGAGTAGTTTTGAGTGAGCCAATGTAGGAATGATGCAAACCTGTCAAATAATGCGCAGCTGATTGAAGAGCCAAAAGGTAACATTTTATCAAAATAGTATTTGTCCTGAAATCTGAAATCAAGCAGGTCAAAGTCACCTGGGGATACTGGGAGCAGTCTAAATGCTGACTTAATGTCCGTCTTAGCTAAATAGGCCCCTTTCCCCACCTTAGCTATCATTTCTGCTGCTTGATCTATATTGCTGTAATGTACTGTACATGCTTCAGGGTCAATAAAATCATTAATTGACTTGTTTTCTGGGTAAGAGAGATGATGTATGAGTCGCATGTCACCATCTTTTTTAGGCACACGGCCTAAGGGGGAGACCTGCAGGTTTGGAAATGGTGGGTGAACAAAAGGGCCTGCAACTCGTTTTAATGCTACTTCTTTTTTAATTTTACTTTCAGCTATTACTGTATTAGCATTGAGGCTAGGGAGGTTACAAGATTCGCGGGGTGCCCTGGGGTCCAAATATTGGAGATTAAAACCATACTTAAAACCCTGGAATATGAATTCACAATCAGAGTATCCAACTAAATGTTTACATAAATTTTGTAACTTGATTGGTGTTGTGCCCAAAGAATATATTGAACCATTATTTTGAACACCTGGCACTTGGGTGGTTAGCTCCGCACTTGCTGCATGCATGTCTGTACTTGCACCTAGGGAAGAAAGGGCAACTTACTCCCTTGTTAAAATGATTACAATAAAATGCCGAAGTACGGTTTGAATTGCTTGGGTAAGAACTTTGACTTTGAGAAGAGGTACGATTATACGTTTGAGTAGTTTCATGCTTGTTAGATATGTACAAAAGCCAAATTTCCTGATTAATTTGACCCCATGACAGCTGGGGTTGGTTGGCCATTTTTAAACGAAATTGCTCGTCATATTTAAACCAATTATTTGACCTAGTAGCAGCGATTCTGATATCTCTGAGATACTTGAGTAGTTCTTGAGCCCGTTTTGGAAATTTCTCTATCATTACGCTTGTAAATATAATAAAAGCCGATGTCCACTTATCGATTGTAAGAAAAGTGTTTCTTTTTGGTTTCACAATGCATAGCCGCCCTTCTTTAATTTTTATGTCCCCTTGTGATTCATAATCTTGTAATTCACAAGCTGTTTTAGTAAGCAGTGAGAGATCGATAAATTTGCCCTCCCATATTTGGTTTTTAATCTTCTGAGGGACGTGTGAACCTACGGAATCATAACAACTGATTTCTTGTAGTGGCTGACTTGAAAAATTTAAATTTGACTCACCGCTTCCACTGGGGATTTCAGGGATGCTTTGATCTATTTGTGATGTCAGCGTAGGTTGTATAGTATCGGATGGCAGAGGAAGAGCTTCTGGGGGAATTCCACCGGCGTCTGTTGCCTCGGCCGGGGCCTGGCGTGTTGGCGCGAGATTTGTCCTGGGCCTAGTGCTTTGACTGCACCGGTGCCCTCTGCCTCTCGATGGGGTGCCCATGGTCTCCCTCCGCTTCCTGGACGCTCTCTTGGTCACTCTCGTTCTAACTGGCGGCATGATTTCGATTCTAGTAACGTGATGGCTTTTGATTGCTTTGGTGTTGAAAAAAGCGTCTGATTTCAACAATTTGCTGGTTTGAAAAGGGGGATAACTTCCGGTGCACCTTTATAATTAATTCGTACACAGTTTGACTCGTAATACGACTTTGTATATTCCTGATGTAATAACTTGTGTACACTTCGTCCCAACTAACCAAACATTAAAACCCTGTCCTAAATTAATAATTTACTATTTGATATAAAATCAAATAATCTTTACTGTGATTAATAAGAATGGGAATATCGCTTTTCTTACACCCCGGAGCTTTCTGGCTCTCCACCAATCGATCTATATTGCGATTCATGCTTTCACATTATCATAGTGGCTGTTGGACAAATACATGTTTTTGACAAGGATGGCACCTTCCTTACATTCCTGGCCTATGATGGGATGAAGAAACCATGCAGTATGACCATTGACTGCAAAGACAATTTATTTGTTTCTGATATGCATGACAATTGCGTAAGAATTCTTCATAATCGCTACTAGTACGTTGTCATTAGTACTAGAACAAAATATTCATAAGAAATTCATTTGTCCTTGATAGTTTAAACAGAATTAAAACATGTTTATTTTAAAGTTTTATACATGTATTTATTTCTATGTATATACACTGTATCTCTGTTGCAGACATTTTTAAATACAATCTTTGGAATTACCTCTCTTCCTACATGCCTACATTATACATGTTATACCTAAGATTGTTTATCTTGCTCTTTGGATAATGCAGCACCTAGAATGTGCGGTTATGTGTTTCTAAATCAAATTAGGACATTTTTTGCAGTCTGCAATGGTTCACTTGTCATTTTAAGTTTTATTTCTCTTACTTCATGGTCTTTTAGATATTGCAATGTTAGATAAACTAAAAAAGCATTCAGATACCGCATTAGTGGACATTTTAGCGAGACGCAAATTTTGCGATTGGTCCTTAAAAAGTGGTACATGTATATTATTTTTAGCGAAATGTAGTTTTAGCTATTATAAAATGCTTACTTATGAAGCTTTTACAAAAAAAAGCAATTCATTTTTAGCGAAAATCAATTTGAGCGATGTCAGCACCCTCACTTGTAATGCCAAAATTAAATCCTCGCTAAGAATTCTGCTAATACGGTATTTGAAAAGTGCTGCGAACCTTGTGAAATCTTGCAATTGAATAAATTGTAGCTATATTTAATGAAGTTGACCAGCAAAATATTCAACCTGTCGTCCAACAACTTAAATTTTACCATTGAAAAAAGGAAATCTATATAGGTTGGCAGCACTTTTCACAATCTACATATAGTGTTTAAAAGAATAAAAAATCAAACAAAGAGTTTTAGTTTGGTTATGCCCTTGCAATATTGAAATTTATAGATGACCTCTAAACTGCAAGTGTAATTGTTAAAATCCTGTGACGTCGACATCACGTGACAAGTCTAAATAAAAAAATCTAAATGTCCTCAACATGAAGATTCGAACAACATCACATATTTTTTTTTTATATAAGTGATCTCCTAAAAAGAAGTGCCTATCCTAATAAAGATGTATTTTTTATTTTTAAAAATTGCTGATATTTCCATTTGTAGCCTTAACTGTACTGCGAAGGTTAAAAATAGCCCAGTAATTCTTGAAAAGAAAATGAAAATGAAAAAAGTTTACAGCGACGACGACGTTGATGACGACAATTTTTTATCACAAAACCCTTCGGCTTCGGTGATCTATAATGAATTCTATACTTTTTCACATGTGAGAATCCCAGTCCTATATGTATATTGCATAAGAAAGGATACAAAATCAGTTTTCCTAAAACCCTTATGAGAAAAAATTAGGTGATCGAGTAAATGGGACTAAATACATTAACATTCGCTAGGTTCTGCAATGATCCTTGGTCAGTTGTGTAATTTTCATTTCCACTTTCATCCTTATCGGGTTTTTTTCTTGAATAGCTCAAACATGTAAAGCCTATTCTTAACTGAAAGATCTACAAGTAAATCCGGTAGATTAACATTCTTTTAGAAAATCAAAAACATTATATACCACACTTATATAACTATATTCGGTCTAGTGTCTCTTATGTCAGAAAAAGGGGGAGGAACTCAATAAATGAACGCTATTTTACCTATATTTAAACAGGTAAACAAAGATTTTTAGCGCTTTTGGCGGAAAGACACTTATGCTAATTCAAATACAACGCTAAATGTTTTGTACTTATATACGTAAATAAGAAGGATAAGAAATACGCTAAATTAAACCTACGCTAACTTGTTCAAAACTCAATTTCCGCCAAATATCGTACACGCTAAATATAATACATTTACAATATGTGTGCTCACAGATTTTACATAAGTACATATAAACCCATCGTCGCAAACCACAGCCAAAATGTACGCTCCTCTCCCATCTGGCCGTGGTTGAACGAGGAGAGAATTCTTCGTAGCTCATTAAAATATTGACCAATGCGAGTAAAGCATAGTCGGATGATGAACTTTATCGCGACCTTTCAATATCCAATCGCAGTATAGGAAATATTTCTTGTATACTGTTGACGTCAGTTTTTGATTTCGATTGCGATGGAAACAAAACTTCCCACTGACTGAATATGACGTCATATGAGATGAGTGAATTTTCAAGATTACGACACTTTTTGTGATCAAGCAGCCACAGGTAGGAGAGAGCTATATATGCGGACTCCAGACCGTGGCTTGAGACGATGATATAAACCGGAACGTGCGATTACGTTATATTAAAAGGTCGTTGGATTTTTATATACACACTAGCACTATAGGATCGATCGAGAAAGTTCTGCAAAATTATAGTTCAATTATAAAATTTTGTTAGTTGTTACCCGAAACTGATTATTAGCACCTTTTTGGCTTTTCGGCGTGTCAATCATCTATCTCCTCGAAGTAAACATTGCAATCAAGCATGGCGATTGAGCTTGCAGACAATACCCGATTATGATTACCGTTTATCCAAGTAACTTTCTTTCGATGCTTGCATTGTTTAAATATGAATTAAATGCATATATACTCCATGTTTTATTTCATTTAAAAATAAATAAATAAAATTGACATTGTGCCACGTCCATGTGATTGCAGCATCACGGTAAAGTTGATAAATGTTTACTTATATAGTATTTACGGGAGTGGTATTGTATTTCCGTGCTTGAATAACCAAAGAGTCAAATACTGGCGTGGATAAAAGAAAACAATGTAACATATATATATTATATATATTATAATGACAAGTTCAAGCGCTAAAATTTATTTATTTTATTTGCGCCAATGCATTCCCACTTAAGCTTGTGTTTGCGCTCCAATACGTATGCGCCAAATTTTCTCGTTTACAGTATAAGTTAGATAAACAAATGCGGAAAATCGAAATATTGTGCTCTTTCTTTTTTTTCTACCATGAAATCTCAGTAAAGAGAATATAAATGCAATGAATATAAATTTAATTTTCTGGTAATTTTCATAGCTACCATTAACTATAAAACAAAATCTGATGAAACTTTTAAACCTCACAAAAAGTGTATTCAAGGCCATCTTTCTTACGATAAACCTTTTTATACACGATGTTTCTTTTGATGCATTACTACTTCATATAAATCAACAGTTAGATCTACATCATATTCGCACCAAACTTTATTCTGTCCCTTTGAAACTTTAAATAATCTTCTTGAAAAGACCTAGGAAAGCTTATCACTTGATTATTGATTGATTGATTGTATATTGTTTAACGTCCCTTTTGAGAATTTTTCACTCATATGGAGAATATCTTTTGAATACTCGACACAAGAATATAGGATTTAACCAGTGATTAAGAATATTAAAAATCAGAGGCTTTTTTAAATCCCCACGTTTATTTTATAAAAAATGTAGTTAAAACCCGCCCGATTCACTCAGTTTTTAGACCATTTTATCATTTTAATTTGAGGTACGACGAGAAGTTTTTTTTATACTTTAAACTCCGTACTTTGGGGTTTGAAAGCCACCGGCCAGCAAAAGTGATCAAATGTGTTACGGTCAACCATAGCGACATACATTTAGAAATGACGGCAGCGTATATTTTCTCTGTAAGCAATGTAATGGTATATTTCTTCTGAATGATAAACAGGATATGGCCAATAATTTAACGAAAATCCTACTGACTAATAAACATATATTGTATTATCAAACCAAAAGCAGGAAAGATGACGCGTTTCCTTTTAGGGAAGTGATCTCTCAGTAAAGAGGACATAACGTATATGAGTCTGATCATCTGGGTTTTTATTTCGTAGCTCATATCAGCTGACAACTAACATCTACGAGATAGTGTTTAACTTGAGCCACGCCTTGACACTGTTACCAAGTTAATACAAAGAGAGGTATGTTTCATTTTTCTAAAATGCATCTCCTTAAATTGGTGGGAGTGTTTGGGATTCACTTTTAATATTTTTTTTTTAATTAAAAATAATAATGTTGAACTTCATGTTAACGGAAGAAAATACTTTTTTTTCTAGTTTGCTGAGAAATGGCATTTTACAAAAAGGAAATTTTGGTATCCACATCTGAACCTTCCAAATGGAATTTGTCTCATATTGATGACAAAATAGAATTGAATAACAATAGTACATTTTGGTATTCACCTTTGTTTCAAAATAACAAAACTCTACAGAGAAGCTGGAATAAAACAAAGAGTGGCTCTGATGATTATTCAAACTCAAATGATTTTTTTAACAATTATAAAATATCATTCCATTTATTCGATTCAGAGGAATTTGAATTAACATCGGAAGGATTTGAGAAATCAATTACAGTGTTGAATTTGATAATCGCATTACTGGGTTTCGTAGGAAATATCATCACCATCTTCACAGTTTTGTGCTGTAAAAAGTTTCATACTCCAACATTTGTTGCGATAGGGTTTCTTGCTTTTTCTGATGCTCTAAATATCATCATTATTTTTGTGGAGAAATTTTCGAATCTCGAATATTATCTTTATTATCATGATTTTGTGAGCAAAAACTTTTTTTGGTATATGGTTTATTCATTTTTATGTTTAACAGTTATGAATTGTTCAAGTGCACATATGGTGTTTCTCTCTATGATCAGATACTTATTAACAGTCCATCCCTTAGAGAGCAAGATACGACTTACTGTGCCAATTGTTATAGCAATGTGTTTAATGATCTGGGTTTATTCTTTCCTGTTTTCAGCTTTCATATTTAAGATTATATCAACGAGTATTAAAGATTTTTATGATACTTATAGTTTAACGGGTCTTACAGGCATGATTATTCGTCTTCTTTGGGGCTCTATTTCTATCTGTGCAATCATAATTATACATATCAAGAAGATAAAAGCTCTAAAAAATGCTTCTGTAACAAACATTATTCATAAGAGAATGAATGTTGTTATTTCTATCATATTATTAATTTTTGTTTCGTATGAAATCTCTCTGATGCTTCGTTACATTGCTGACATTGCTTTCGAATATTTCATTGTTTTGAGAATTCCTATTTACTCGATCATTCGGCAATACTTATTCAGTATTACTACACTCTTCGGACTAATAAATTACTCTTGTAATTCTTACATACTCTTTTTTGCTTCACAAATGTGTTTTATAAACAAACATGAGAAACCTAAGAGAAGTACAAAGTGAAATCAATCACTCTAATTTGATTTTATTGACATTTTGCATGAATCCTTTCATTTACCGATCCGCATTACAATTTAGCAGGGAATTGAAAAACATCATTTTACCCGCTGGATGTAGATACCTTACATATTGGCACGCTTTTTAAATAAATTCTATAAACATTAACATGGAACGTACGGTTTCTAAACAATAAATTATGCTTTTGTTTTTTCAATGCAGAAAATCGGCACAATAAATTAAGCTTTTGATATACATTACTTGTAATTTATCTTTAAATTTGCGTTTGATTTAAAGAAAAAGATATTCTTTTTATAATATAAATATCGACATATTTTGTACAATCAATTTGCTTGTATATTGATTCAAAACAATGTAATAGAAAAACACAATTACACAACAGGGTAAATATAAACTAGTTTCTTATTAAAGAAATAAGGTAAATGAAAAAAACAAATCTATAAATAAATGATAAATACAACGTTTTATATATCCATTAAATTTTAATATTTGTTTTAGCGCAATATTTGACTGTATCAAAAAATCACTCGAATGGGAATTTTGTTCGATTTTCTTCTTTACACACCTTTGTGAATGTTATAGCATCGAAGAAATAATAGCTTAAAACTCAAGAAATAGTTTGGGACTTTTGAAAAAGCCCATATTCCTTGAATTGATATGCTTGGGAATTATGCATTTCACTTAAAGATAGTGTTTGTTTTGTTTTGGTTTGGTTTGGTTTTTTTCTGCTGACTTCTTAATGTCGCTGAGTGCCGAGTAAAGGGCAGACTCTGAAACTTCTCATATATGTGATCACGTCTCTATATGAGTGGAAAATGCTCGAATGCAACATAAGACAACAAACAATCAATCAATCAACCAATAATTTTATGAGTCACTCTTGTAAAATGGTTTTATTCTTTATTCCTATATATAAAGCATAATGATACCTACTGTATAATAAAATGAAATATTAAATTTTTTTTTTTTTATTTTCATACAATTTAAATAAAAATCGGAATTTTCAATATCTTGTGCGTGGAAATAAAAAAAACTATTTTGATAAAAGTCGCATTGATTTTAGGCTTTCTGTGAATTAAATATATTCAAATGATGAATGTGTTATTTATTTTCAACCCATGTACATTCTTTTGTTATCAGGTCCTCAAAACATCTTAGGCTATTCTGATGGATATTTATTTTGTTAATTAATCATTATGTCTAACTCGCCCACGTGGTGCAGTGGTTAAAGCTTCTGCTCTATTGTAGGGATCTGGTCCATTCGTTGCGGGTTCGAATCCACTGAGGAATGTGAACGCCAGTCCTTTGATTAAGAATGTTTATACCAAGGTATCGTGTCGCAATACGTATATGCACAAAAAAGATCGCTAACTGCTCATGGGCACTGAGAGCCGCATCTAGGTTTATATAAATATATATATTCAATCCTCCAACAACGAGTGGTGCTTCACAATATGATTGAAAAAATCTTAAAAGGGCGTTGAATACTTTATATCGTAGAAATTGGTTTGCTTAAAAAAGATTCAATCCGTAAGTGTGTTGGAACAGTTTATTTCTTTAGTAAATTGCTCCGCTGTTTAGAAAGTGTTATCTGTTCGAACTCACTCCAATACATCTATATCTGAAATGCATTTGATTAAAAAAAATCAAATTGTTGATTAATACTTGAGCTTAATGTTTCTTATACAGGGTTGTGGATGTCATAACACCAAACATTAATAAGTTTCAAAAAGCAAAGTTAAATATAAGGTTGAGAAAAAGTCCCTATTTCTTGAGATGAAAATAGCATATAAATGGGATGAGAATAACCGAAGTGAAGTTAATTCCTCAGCATGTCATGTATTTATACACATAGTGAAAAGCTACATTTTAACATCGGGGCAAATTTATATTTCATAGAACATATCTTTATTTTATAATGAAACGATATTTTTCATCTTCTATTTAATTAGAAACATTTATTTTCAGAATTCGCAAAAATGCACTGTTCAAAATAGTCTGGTCCAATTGGATGATATTTAAAAAAAAATCAAGATCTAAAATCATAATGGTTCTTTCTTATTGGAAGTTTTTAACACACTAATATTGGAAAAGAATAATTATTGAACTAATCAGACGAATATTTCTCTTTCCAGACAAATCCTTAGTTAACAAAAGACTATATTCTTACCGGATGCAACTATACAATCATGATGAGTTTGAGTAGGAGTAGAATAATTTATTTGAAGATACAAGTATCATTTGTATTACAAAAACTCATATTTTAAGAAACTAAATATAAGATATACATATGTAGATATAAATAATATCTTAACAATATCTTTGTTGATTGTCAAAGAAGAAAAAAAAAACATGAAAGCAGTATGTATGCTATAGATTATGTGAAGCATTGCTACGAAGTTCTACATTATTTTGATCTATTTAGTGCAATCATAAAAAAACAATATACAGGGGAAAAAAAGATGATTGTTGCTTAAGTGTGATTGACTTAAATAAAAATACCCCGAAAAACAAACGTGATATTTTATTCTATTCTATATTGTTTGTGCAGTTCATTTAAAGGCTGTTTACAATTGAATTATGTTTTGTTCCTAACAAATGGATCATTATTCCGAAATGAGGGCAAGAGGATTCTAATATTAAATATTTGAATAGATCCTTTATTGTTTTTCATCCAATCTAATAATTCATTTTATGACGCCTTTCTGTGTGTTAAATTTCCGTTATCTGTTTTTTTCGAGAATAGCTGTACACAATAGAGCCATATAAACAAATAAAAAAATCTGAAAGTCTGCATTGTATATGTATAATAATTTCTTTGTTGATAATACCTATGTACCCTTTTTTGAGACGTGGTTGTGAAGTAAAAGCATGTTGCTTTTTATTTCTCAAAAATAAAAAGAAAAAAACATGTATCTTCTTTTATTTATGTATTCCAATTCAAATCCCTATCAATGCTTATTAATTACCTTTGAACTACTGCCGTGTGTGTTATTTTTTCATTAATCACATTTTACCGTAGAAAATGCAGCTTAAACCCGTTTATACACTAATTTTTACACCAATGTATTATTTTGAAGTACAAGGAAAAGTTTTTTGTACTTTAAACGTTTACAAAGTGCTTTTGGATTGAAATCCACAAGCTAGAAGAAGTCGTCAAAAGTAACCCTAGCAAAGTAAATTTGATTGAATGAACATGCAGAAGTGAAGCTGGTAATGTTTATTTTCTCAGTAACCAATATGATGGGTTATAAATTCTCAAAGAAAAACAAAAAAAAATCCTAGCTACTATAAATGTATATTATTTTGAATAATCAAAACAAGGAAAGATTAGACAATTCCTTCTTGAAACTGATCTCTCAATAGAGAACACATAACGTATATAAATGTAAGTCTGGGACCTGTTTTACAAAAGGACTTACAACTTAAGACCAAATTAAATTTTTCATATAACTTTTTAATAAATATTATTTCGAGATTTATTTTTTATATTTAAAAGAAATGTGGCTTGATATTTTTACACAAAAAATTTTGAAAAGAACTAATAATTTTGCAAAATTACAATCATCTGAAGTTTTTGGTCTTAGTCGTAAGTTCTTTTGTAAAACGGGCCCCTGATCGTCTGGCTTTTTTCATACTAACATTACCTGCGCCTTACATCTACAAGCCATTGTTTAACTTAAGCCACGCCTTGCCCCTGTTACCCAGTTTATACAAAGAGTGGTATGTTTGATAAAATGTATTCTTTTTACAATTCATTGCGAGTGGTTAGTGTTTACTTTTATTTGTTTTTTTTAGGTATAGGTAATAATGTATCATTTCTGTTAACTAAAGAATTGTTTTTACAGTTTGTTGAGAAATGGCATTTTATGAAGGTGGAATTTCTGAACCTTCAATATGAATTCGTCTCATTTTGATGATCGAAGAAACAGAATTGAACTACAATAGTACTTTCTGGATCCCACACTTATTTCGACTTGATGATAATCTTCAGAGAAGCAGGAACGAAACAAAAAAATCTATCTGATGATCATTGCAGCCTGGGGGACCGGGCTGCTCTATACATATAAGTTTAACTGTTGGTGTATGGGGATTGAAATGGGAGAATTCATTCAGAATTAAAAGTTTTCTATACATTTAAAAGATTGTTAATCAGAATGTTCTTTTCCTTTATAAATTACGAGATACATAATATATTTACTTCCATAATCTGAATCTGTAAAAATATGTATGTTTTTCATATTTAAAATATAAAGTTGCTTATTATTTACAATAAAAAAAAACGACAGGTCCATTTTTTTTGGAACATCGAATTTTACTTATCACATAAAAACGTACTCTACACAGTTCGTGTTTTAAATTCTGAAAGTGAAATACATTTTTGAATATAAGTGATGCATGTATTTGTTTCAATCTATATTTTATGCAGCCAACATTTACTTGAGGAGTTGATAAAGTTTAAAAGGCGGTTTTGTTCGATTTTTATCGGACTATAAATTTTCAAAATATTCCCGACTATCGTCCTCATCACTTAGAGGCATGCCTTTTTCACACATATCAAAGCGGTTTGATTATCAAGACTCATTTTCATTGTTTATTTAATTTATTTCCCGGGCGATAATTGATGGTTACATCAATGTTTTCTCGTTTTTTTTTTTTAGCTATAAGTAATAATGTATCATGTCTGTTAACTAAAGATTTTTTTTACAGTTTGTTTAGATGGCATTTTATGTAAGTGAAATTTCTGAAACTTCTAAATGAAATTAGTCTGATTTTGACGAAGAAACAGAATTGATCTCCAATAGTACTTTTTGGATCTCACACTGACATGTATTTCGACTTGATGGAAATCTGGACGGAAACAAGAAAACGTCTCTGATGATCATATTAACATGTATGATTTTAATAAGGAATATGTAGTAACATTTAATTTATTCAATGCAAACATTATCGGTTTGACATTGGAAGGATTTGAGAAATCAATCATGTTGTTTATATTAATAATCGGACAACTGGGTTTTGTAGGACATGATGTTACAATCTGCAAAGTTTTATGCCATAAAAAGTTTCGCACTCCGACAATTGTTTCCATCAGGTATCTTGCATCGCCCGATATTCTAAATATCATTTCATTGTATGTTCACAGATTTTCTACTTTGGGGAGTTATCTTAGCTCTCAACTTTACGATTACAAAAGACCTTTTGGGATTATGAATCTTTTTTTCTACGTGA